TAAATTGAGGTGCTGCGCAAGGAAAGAGGATCAAAGCAGTGGCAGTAGGGAATGCTTCGCCCAAGCAACCTCCTCGGAGATATCGAGACTGGAAGCAAAAAGAAAGAAAAAGGAAAAGCAAGGAGAGAACTTAAGATTAAAGTATAAAGCACGAATAGAAAGTGACGAAAAAATCCAGTGATTTATAGTCACTCGCAACCAGTTTACCCGACTCGTTGTTGTGAAGTTTCGCCGATGCACTATTTTAGGCAGTACTTTTTATGAAACTTGGCAACCTGCAACATTTTGCAAATGCAACATGACGACAACGCAAAACGGTCAATGAAAAAACCTAGCCAGAGAAGTTTTGATGCTTCCATGCCCGAAGAATTCATCGAAAAAGGAGTCCGTGATTTTCAAGAGACAAGTAAAAATGTAACGCACGAAAGAACCGCAAATGGCCATGGAAAACTCAAGCTACCGACGGAGCCGTGAAATAAATGTCTTCTAGTTCTATGCTAAAGTCCTATATTCTTTTTTACCGATCAATGTCGTAAGTTCAATTGTGTCATTCCACTTCGTTTCGCATCCTTGCGTTCGTTCCTCTCCGAAAAAAGTTCATGATAAAATTCTAGGTTCTAACTGGTTACAAAGCATGCAGCTTCGAACAACTTCTTGACCGATCACAAGCAATTAAAGTCGTGTAATTAATTAATGAAGAAATTTAATAAAGAGATAATATTGTAGTCCCTGCATAAAATTTAAAGGAAAAATGGAAGATACATTACCAGAAAATCTGTCTTTCGGAGCTCACGGATTAATAAAGCATGTATGGAATAGACAGACATGGATCGTTACAAAAAATGATGGTTTTTTTTTACGATTTGACCAATGCGGAACTTTGCTGCAAGCTGTGACGTGACGATCAAGATCCAGGAACAGTCTCACAGCTCATTCGGCACCATTGCGAATGGAAGGTTTATTTTTCCAAGCTTCATTGTAATGGGACGCATTTATAGGAAGTCATCTTTTCAACGATGAGTTTAAAACTGGATCCGTACTTAAAAATAGCATCTTGTTCGCCTACATAAGTAGCCGCCATGGGGGAGGGGCGCTTACCTCCCCTCGATGAGGAAATAATAAGTGAGGAAAAACTGTGTTGCGGCGCGACGTATATATGATATACATAAAGAAATTCGCAGTTGCCAAATTGCTGATAGTGTATTTCATCCATCAACAAAACTCAAAATTTAATCATTGTGTTTAGTCCGATGTTCATTTCCTGTGCAGTAGTTTTAACCAACTCACAAATTCATTAGTACATGTCAAAAACAGCGCGGTCAGCGTGAAACGCATAGCGCCTACTAGACTTCATGAATACTCCACGCATTGCGTCGAACACAATGCGTTCAGCAGCGCAGCGGTCGGCGTGAAACGCATAGCGCCTACAAGACTGTAGGAATACTTCACGCATTGCGTCAAAAACAGTGTAGTGATCGCGGCTCGGCGGCGGAGGTTAAAATTATTAAACCACATTTATGTTTGTTTTTGCATCATTTTTACGTTCATTTCTTACAAATGGAAGGCCATGTTCACACAGAGATAGGTTTACGGAGCTTAACTTTCGCGTAAAGTTCCGTGAACTTTTGCTAATAATGTTGACAGGGTTTTCGCAAAAAATGTGTCCAACACGAAAGAATATGTCTTATGCACCCCTCCCCTCCCCCTCCGGTACTTCACTTGATGGTTTTTATTGATGTTTCAAAACAAATGAGAAGGGAGCGGCAAAATATACGTGGCCCATTGGCGGCAAGTAGGTAAATCCGGCCCTGCATGTGCATTAGGACTTGTGAGATTCCATTTTGCAATAAGGAGCCACTATCTGTAGCTCTCCCATAAAAGCACGTATCTGCATAGGGAAACCAATGGCATGTCTGTCGTTCCGAAAATGCCAGAAATAGTGGTTATGCAGAATGTATAATCCAGTTCTCCTTGGAATCATCAATATCTCAATTTTTCAGAAGCTACACCTATGCGCCTTGTCCTCCATGCCCCTCAATTCTACACACCCATACATATATCATGCTCCACTTTCCGGCATATTTTGACGTGCTAAAGCGTGAGAAAAATGGCAACAACGCATACATTGGTCTCCTTTTTACTTGAGGAACGCTGTTTGCTCCGGAGGCAAATTTATGCGAATCGAGCCCGAGCGAACGCCTCCATGCGACACGGTAGCATTCCGGAAAAGTTTTCAAATTCAACTTTCCGGCTTTAAAACTGCTCCGAAAATCAAGATGCAACCCTTCGGTCGTGGCAGGGAATTGGGAGGGAGATGGAGGGACGGAAAATTCAGCTTTCTATTAAACTCTCACAAACTTGTCCCTCCGTTACAACCTTTCTCACCTTTTGAGCCCTTTTCTCTCGTTCGGAGAAGGTGTCAAAGCTTTTAGCCGTGAAGCGGCTAGAGAAAAGGATTCCCATCGATTCATCATTTAGAAAATTGAGGCTACTTCTTCCAGAGTGTATTATGTCCATAAAAGTGGCTCGTCATGAAAACGCAAAAAACTGTTTTGAGTATACTGTACGTTTTGCTGCGACCTATCTTTTTAATACTGCTTAGTTATAAAGTATTTCGGCAGTTTCGGCACGCAATTACTTTTTTTCCGATTCTCCTCTATTATTGGCTGATCAAGAACCCACTCCTAACTCAATTTCGACAAAAATGGACATTGTACACTTTGGCACTAGCAGCCTCAAATGCAATGTCGATGGCCAAAGTTCGAAACCACGTATCCCTATTTGCAACGTTGTAGAGTTCCTGTCAAACTTTGATTTTTATTTGGAAAACTAAATTTATTGTCTTGAAAACTTTCCTAGCTTGAGGACATCGAGCAGCTATTTCCAGACATTTCAGACGTATAGGATAACATAACAGTGAATTATTTTGAAATTTGAGGCCGATGAATCGTGTAAGCAAATGAATACCTCTACTCCTCGGAAATGGATTTTGGTCCGAAGAGTATCCTATTAGCTTCGATCGAAATCGTACGAGGTTTCACTGATCTTCCGTTACGTAGAGAGTCCACTTTCAATAGGCATGCGTAAACGGGCCCCTTTGACGTCATCAGATGACGGCAGCGTCCCAAGCCTACGTCGCGGGTCAGAGACACGGAGGAGTAAGACGATGCTAAGAAAGGAGAAAGGAGGAAGATTTCGTCGAGGATGGGTGCACGGAACGCGGAGGACGGATGGTCCGTCATTTTTATTGAAGAGAAATGGGCTGTATCGAGGCGGCCGATAATGGAAAAACGTGCAGATGGCGCGCCGACACTGGAGCAGGGCCGAGCGCGAGCAGGGGAGCCGGGGAAAGGTTAAACTGCACATGATGACGCTGGGCGGACTATATTAAAAGTTATACATGACATTATTAACTTTATAATTTAGATTGGTGTCATTTCAGGGCCCAGCAATGAACGTGAGCACGCACACCCGCGAACGAGCGCCCGCTCTTTTACGAGAGATGCGCCTCCGATTGTGAGCCCGTGTGCGTTCGTTTGCGTGTGACGTAGATTGGAGCATCTCGAATGGCCATACGGAATCGGACTCGGTTGCCGCATCGCTCCCTGGATTTCGCTCATTATCAGACAGTATATTTTCGGAATCTCAAACTTGATTTGGACTACGCAAAACATTTCTTTTACTAAAAGTGAAGAGGCGATTCTAGCGCATAGGTAATTCGCCTGCAATTTTCGGTGTAGGCAACACGAACTCCTCTGTGGTCGAATAGTGGTATTATAGTAATACGCTGGAAAAAAAAACACATTGGATGTAGCGTCCAGACTCTTGAAAACATTGACAAGAAAAAGGACTCTTGATTCAATCAGATTTTTGCTTAAATCAAAAGGAAATCCGCTCAAATTAAGAGGCTATGGTCTTGATTTAAGCTTAAATCTGATTGAATCAAGAGTCCTTTTTCTTGTCGATGTTTTTTAGAGTCTGGACTCGAGATCCAATGTGTTTCTTTTTCCAGTGTATGGCACGCTTTACTCGAAACACCCAAATAGTTTTTTACCAGATTAGAAGAGGTGGCTTTAACGCCATGGCAGTCCGCCTTCAATTTTTAAGGTAGGCAACACGAGCTCCCACGTGGTCGAATAGTGGTATCACATTATATGGTAAGTTTACTCGAAACATTCAGAGACGTGAGGGAGTGAGTATGATACATGCACACTCGGGCTAGTTGCAGTATTTAGGCCGCATTTTTCGTGCTCCCCCCCCCCCTCAAAAAAAAAACAAAAAATATTTATACGTAGAAGATGAAAAATATCAAAAGACAAGAATACGAGAGGATTCCAAATTATTTTTTTATTATTGTTAATTATTTTCTTTTCGTCGTTGAAAAATGTTTACAAACTTTCATTTCATGTTATATTTATTTCGCAGTTTCAAGAATTTAACAGAGACGTCACGTGTAGCTGCTATAATCTGCGGCAAAATATCTTCACTATTAGGGAAACTTTACAAGAATTTCATTCGATTCAATTATCCTAGGCACACTTGAACACAGTTGCGTTGACAACACTGTTTTTCTTTCATTCAAATCCATCATAAATATCGATTCTAGGTGAAGTAACCTATGCCTTTTTAGAATCAAATGTTTTACATACACGTAAATGGAAGAAAAACGGTGTTGCCAACTTGCAAGGATCTACTTGATAAATACTCGCACTTCGGAACTCACAAGTTGAGTAATTTTTTTAAATGGAAATCTACTCGACGGCAATTTTTGAAAACTGCCGTGATTTTTCTTTTCTCAATGAAGAACATTTTCCGAAAATTTTAAGGAATGATGTTCACTTGTCTTCTTTAAACAAATAAAATAGGAGCGTAGATTTTCAAACACAGCAAACGAGAAACGTGATTACGGATATACATCGTAGATATGTTGCACCTAAAATGAGGCTAAAATTGTGGTTCATAATTACAATATTCAGTCCAATTTTCACTGGCAATTCGAAGTAAAGCAATATTTTCTCAAATCAAAATCTAACTATTAAGGTTCCGCCACTTTCGATTGCGCCACTGGTCGTAGACTCCGTCGTTCCTGATGGACCACTTGGTTGGATTCGGAGCGTCCTTCCAATTGGTGACGAAGACGTCCCAGCCGACGCGTTGTCCATGCCAGTCCATAGTGCACCAAAACTGGGTGCTGCGGTTCCTGCGGAAGCCCCAGGCTACCTTCTCCCCGGGTTTCACCCAGAGACCTTCCTTCGGGCCGATTTTGTCGTCGGCCGAGGCGCACCACATGTGCGCGTCGTGTTTGCCCTCGTTGTGGACCTCCACCAACCAGGTCTCCGTCTTCTCGACCACGTCGATGATGGTGCCCAGAACCGCCGTCCCGGTGCCCACCACAGCCCAGCCGAAGCCTTGCGCCGGTCCTAGCTGAGTTGTGACCAACAAAATCGCTGCTACTGCATATTTCATATTCATCATGGTGTCGTGTCGGAACGAGATGTCCGTTGAAGGATACCTAGATCTGGATACCAAGAAAGAGAATAACCTAATTATCACAGTGTCAATTGGACGTATTTCTATTAAACGGAACTATGTGCATTAAGACATGAGCCCTGAAACCCATAAGAATATGTGCATAACCGGGCTCACGTTGTAACGCACATAGTTCCGTTTGATAGAAATACGTCCAATTCTGCATCATGATGGCTAAGGAACAATACTGCCTATCTACAAACTGACAATGGAGATGTTGCATGTGTGAGGAATTTGCGATTTGACTTTTGATTCTTATGTAAAAGTTCATGAGAAGCACGATGGTGCCACTGGTTTTCTCTGAAATCAACTCCCAAGCTAAAAAAAGCTCTAAGTTGAGGCCGAAATGGAGGGGATATCCCACGCTATCCTGAGAGTCCACCTCTACATCAAGACAAACTCTCCATGCAAAGATAGGGAGTAAATACATTATAGGGTTGCCGTGTCTTCAGTTTTAGAGTCCCCAAATAAAGTGGCAGCCCTCTCAATGTATTTGCTCCCTATCTTTGCATAGAGAGTTTGTCTTGATGTGGAGGTGGACTCTCAGGATAGCGTGGAATATTCCCTCCATTTTGGCCTCAACTTGATAGCTTTTTTTGTGCTTGGGAGTTGATTTCAGAGAAAACCAGTGGCACCATCGTGTTTCTCGCGAACTTTCACGTAAGAATCAGTAGTCAAATCGCAAATTCCTCACACATGCAACATCTCAATTGGTAAAAGATATACTATAAGCACTACTGCGAGGTATCAATTGCTTTTTACGGGATGATATCTTCGTGAATATTGGAAGGCGACACTATAAGTACAGATTTAATAATTTTTTAAGCATCTAACATTTCAAGTAAATAAACGGCACTGCAACGGGTACAATTGCTTCATGGAATCATTTAAAAATTCTGGTAATTTTTATTTCTTTGAAGATAACCCGACTCTCATTATGACTTAATTGAAATCGTCTTAAATAAATTGAATATATATATTCCGCCCTTTCCAGAAACTAAGAAAAATCGCAAATTTTTGAGAAATAATGCTGCGCATAGAAAAATTCCGCTTACCTCTGAATGAAGGAACGATGTTGCCTTGGTTGGAGTTCACAAAATAATGAGTTCCGAAGCAATCAAGGGAGTATTTAAGCATGTCTTCCCTTCACGATGTTTGTTCACATGTAAAGAAAAAAAATGGGATACCCCGAGGTTTGTCCACGGTGGTAATCCATTTTTTAAAAAAAAAAAAACCTTGCAAGAATGAAATAAGCGAGAGGAACTACACTACTGGTCGGTTCCCTACCCAAAAATTAAACTCGGAGGATGGGCTGGAAATGCCGTGAGGCCTCCATCAAAAGCAGAGTTGTCGTCAAGTTAAAATATTATACCTACAGCTTTGTCGCTGTGTCGAATTCAACATCGCGATTTTATCAAAAGATCTAATTTAACATCGTGAAGCTAGGCTCCTCTGCGAGATCTTGAGGAGCATTTTAATTATTCTACCGGTTTTCCTTAACGCGCTAGGGTTTCCCCGTGGCGTGGCATGCTTTGCGATTTATCGATTGATCTTCCATTTACACTTATGGAAAAGGATCGATAAACAGGAACACCTTAACAATCGATTCTTTACTATAGCCTCAAATGGGGAAATATCGATAGTCGATCATCCACGCTTCGCCACCGGTTTTCCCACTATGCTATTTTACTAGTTCCTTGAGACCTAATTATTACAGTATTACTTTGCTGTATCTGTATTTGTATAATTATTTTAGTGTTACGATATTTTGCAAAAGGAGGAGGCTTATTATCAAAAGCTTCTGCACAAAAATCAACCGAAAGATTCACAGAAGTTTTTAATGACATTCTAATTAATCGAATGTTGCTAGCCATTTAACTGAGAAAGTGATAAAAATCTCGTATTGAAACAACCCCCTTCACACCCTACCCTTCAGCCGAGGGGTGCACTTCCACGATTGAGGGTGGACCTCTTGTGGCGTGAGAGTAATCAACTCAACCCGCACTGGAACTCTTAAAAATACCGACAAGAAAAAATACTCTTGATTCAATCAGATTTAAGCTTAAATAAAAAACCAAGCCTCTTAATTTGAGCGGATTTCCTTTTGATTTAAGCTTAAATTCGATTGAATCAAGAGTCCTTTTTCATGTCAATGTTTTCAAGAGTCTGGACTCTAGATCCAATGTGTTTTTTCCAGTGCGATTAATCGAAGAATGAGGTTTGTTTTGAAGTTTGCAAAAGAAATCGAAATTTTACCCGTTACATCGAGCAATCGAATTATTCTGAGCCCAACTTCGAGCTATCGCATTATCCATCGGTAATTTTGTGCGAGGCGAGCGCGTGTTTTACGTACTCATTGCACGTTTAACTATCTTCCGACGGTCGACGAATCGCACACCGGCACGTTGCCAGCTTGTGCAAAAAACGACCTCCCTGAATCTCGATCAAATGAGCAGTTGCGTGGTTTTCGAGTGCGATTTGGCACATGCCAGGATGACGGTCGAGAGGAGATCCTGGCTCGTGGCCAACGCTCGCTGCCGTCAGTGAAAAATTACTTTCCTATACCCCGTGCCCTCTGCGAGGGGGGGGGGGGGGGGGATGAAGGGGGCACCGAGGATAGAAGGGGGCGAAGGGGGGATCCTGCGTCCCTTTCGTAAGGAATCGCACACACAACGCCCCCGTTGCCTCGCTGCACTCGCAGAAAATGAAATGCCCAGGCACAAAGTTCTGAGCTGCACATTCTGTAGAGATCCTCTGGACCACATTTTGCAATCATGAACTACACTTCCTGGCTTTTTTTAGAAACAACTGATTTACCATTATCTTCCTTCATGCACATAAGTGTTTTTACGGTCACACCAGATATTTTCGTTCCTAATTGGACTGCATTTTGCATTTTTTTCATGCGGTGTTCTAGAAAAACACGTATGTGCATAGGGAAACTAATGGCACTTGCGTTGTTCTTAAACTGGACTAGAATTTATGGTTCCAAATTGCAAAATAAAGTCCACTTGCAAAATGTAGTTTAATTATTATTCTTGGTGCATTATCGCACTACCTCGAAATCACCATGAACATGAAAAGATTGGGAAACTAGGACGTGATTATTGTAGAATTTATGATTACTCGACATTTCGATTCAATTTCAATGAGGAGTCAATGCGAGCTTGAATTTAAAAACTTGTTCGGTTTGAAATACTACTTTGGCACGTCTTCAGTACAAACACCTCTTGTAGCTACGACTGCGGATTTCTAGATTAGTAAGCACTTCGAGATCGTTTTCGCCTTTTGGAAGCATCGAAGGAAACACCAAACTTGGGTTCACTGATTCCAATGTATGTAAATCGTCATTTATGGAACTTTTCATCTTAAAGCTTGCGCAAGGTAAAGCTAAAAATGTTCATTAACTAGTTCACTCCTTTTCAAACCTCTAGCTTAAAAATGTCATCTCTCTCTGAGCTGTGAATGTTTCTGGGCTGCAAGTTTTTCCCCGGGGAACTAATAAAATCAGGCAAGCAGCTGAACCTTCCCAAAGTTTGAGTTCCACGAAGAAAGTTTCTGTTCCTCATTTTCCCTTCCCACCTTTAAACAAATAATACTTGTTTTTCCGTAGATTCGGCACTCACGTATTCGCTCGCAGAATAATTGTCATATTCTTCCCATGTAATTGATTTGAACTTGCCGTCATGATAAACCCCTTCGACTTCGACAATTCACACACCTTTGCTTTAGCCCTCCTCCCTCCTTCTATTCCCAATTCTTACGTCCCAACTTCGCGCTCTTCCCTTCCCCTTAAATCCCATCAGCCTCCCTTCTTTTCGCTTACAGCGTGCAGCGTCAATTCACGGACTGCTTACAAATGATATATCCTGCCGTAGAAGGAAGCAATCATTTCCGTCCTACAGACTTATCACTTATTCAATGAAAAGGAAAATGTTGTAAATGAGCATCTTTGAGCTCCTCAATATCAAACTAACCAACCACTCCATGCTCGCTCGGTTTACGAACTAATTGAATCAAAATATATGGTTTATAATGGAATCTCTTGCGAGTTACAATCGAGGACACACATTTTGAAACCATGCCTATGAAAATACTGTTCTCACTGTATGAGGATTTGCAGAGTAACAAGGTGTACATGACACTCCTCACTGGAAAAAAATCACATTGGAGCTAGAGTCCAGACTCTTGAAAACATTGACAAGGAAAAATACTCTTGATTCAATCGGATTTTTGCTTGAATCAAAACGAAATCCGCTTCAGTTAAGAGGCTTGGATCTTGATTTAAGCTAGATTCTGATTGAATCAAGAGTACTTATTTTTGTCGATGTTTTTAAGAGTCTGGACTCTAGAACCAATGTGTGTTTTTTTCCAGTGCTTGAAAAGAACAACTATAATGTAACAAATCAAATTGCCTTTTATTATTTTATGCATTAGTGTCTGTCAGGAACAATAAATGAAATAAGCTGTTATTTTAATTCATTTTTGTAATTGATTCCTCAATGCTAAAGTTTAAGATCACTCTCAGATTTTACACATTCATTTCTTTTTGGCCCCCTAAAGTATATTAAATTATACTCAGAAGTTTGCTGTGTAAATGAACTTGATTCCGCTTATTTTATCGATGGCCATGACAAGTGGCTCCACGCAGACGTGTAGAACTGGAGCGATGCGTAACGCATGATGGCATCCCGCATCATTCGGGAAAAAGCGATCAACCACGCAGTTGTTCAAACACGGTGAAATTGTGATCAACAGTCGTTAGAAAATATACAGAGGTTTGTGATTCTGGATTCAAAGTAGATTCATGCCGGTGTTGACTTTGTACACACCGCGAAAATAGTATAGGCTTCGAACCCTCAGAAATTCTATCCACGGCGTAATGTGAGGTGACAGGCGCGCAGCTCAATTTAGCAAATAGAAACAAGAAAAGTAAATAACGTTTTTGAAATTTAAATTGTTCCTAATATACCGGAAATTCGGCTTGACGGTGGCAAGCAATCTATTTCTCCCACGAGTAAGACGTAAAAGTGACACGCGTGCGCTAATCATAAAATTATATGCTCTTGCCAATCCTCTGAGTTTTCTGCTCAACTGTAACTCAGAGCCGTTTATGCGTGGATATTTAAATAAATACGTGTGGAATCTTGGCTCTTGGCCTTAGGAGCGCATCGCCATGGTCATAAAATACATACTAGAAGAACTTGAAGTGTATGATACTGATACAGCCTTGCAGAAGGGGAAACATTTTACTCATAAAATCGTTTAGAGTAAAATTGTTCTCGGTTTTTGATGAGCTTAAACCAACACCAAAAAAATAAAGTGTAGAAAATGCCTAGTGATCTCTAGATACTGGCTTGACTGCCCGCGCAGTTAACTTTAAATCCTGGCAATGCATACACAACTGCAGGGGCAGTCAAGCCAGCATTTAGGAATCTTCACACATATTCTTAACAGCCTAGGCTAACGTTTTTATTGTTTTCCGTGAATACGCGGTGTTATCTTTATTATTATCTTTACGAATGCTATCCCAAAACTGCAATTTCTTTCAAACGGAAGGTTACTTCCGGTAATCAGTGCCATAAAAAAGTATTAAAAAGTATTTTTAATGATCTAATCGATTCAGTGGCGGTAAGAAAGGTCAACCTAAATGGGACTGATTTCGTATGAACGAGGTTTGAAGCTCACCTCTGTGGTATGAATCATCAGTGGTAATCATCAATGATCTACGATAGACAAAACGATCTTCAATGATATCATGACGGTGTCGCAGGATTTTGATGTGATTCGTTTTTATTTTTTAACCTGGAAACGCGCATATTCTGATACTTAAATTCCAAGCAAAAAAAAAAAAACCAGACCGCATGACAATCCAGCAATACTTTCCTTATGTTCAATGAATATATTTTCGAACCTTTGAAGATGTATAATGTTTTATTATTTTACATATCCTCCAAAAAATTTTAAAAAAAACTAACACAGTTGTAAAACAACTTGCGTTGTAAACTAATTTGTAAGCCTAATTTTGAGTTTTCATTAGTCTACGTAATTTTGAGGAACCTCTTGATCTCTTTCGATTTATTCCGCTATATCTTCTTTCCCGGTAATATATATCACTTGGGTAACGGATGAAAGAAGCACATGAAAATATGCGAGGTATCCACAAGCAATTAA